CAAAAAGCCACTAGGTGCAGTCAGTATAAGCGAAAAAGTAACTAGAAATATCACTAGATGCCAAAAGTTAGTAAAACGTCACCGGTTTCAAACTGTCGCGTTAGATAAGGCCGATTCTAAATCAAAAAGCCATTTGGTTTGAAAGTTAGTCGGTTTGAAACTCTGCTGCGGGGGTTCGAATCTTTGCAAGTATGGATCTAACTTAGGGTTTGTTAAGCTTATATAGGACCGATTCTGATTCAAAAAGTCACTAGAAAATGTCACTAAATGCGAAAAAGTACCTAGAAATGTAACTAGGTTTTAAACTCAGCTATGAACTAAGTTCAATAGGGCCGATTCTAAATCAAAAAGTCACCAGGTCTGAAAGTCACTAGAAAAGTAACTCCGTAAAATGTGACAAGTTTCCGTGCCTCTTTCGTCAGTTTAGAAATTTTAATGGCGCCAGTCTTGATTTTCCCTTCTGGACCTTGAAGCATTCTCAGCCCTTGAGCCCTAAATAATAACGGATGAGATACCCAATCGGGTCGTATAAAAAGCGTTTTGTAATTAAAATTTGATACTAAACAAAATTTAATATCGGCCGATGATGAGTAATTCGCCTCTTACGATGCGCGACTAATGACGTCCATTGTGCTTGTAAAATAAAACACGAAGCTTAAGAACTAAGCTCTTGTACAAAATCCGGATATTGCATTCGATTTTTAAGAGCTCTTAACGGAGCTTTGAAATTTTTACGTAGTAATTAAATTACTTCATTAAAGAAAAAAAGTACGAGAAACTTTATACTTTGCTTTTAATTGAAATATCATTTGCAAATTTGTACGCACAGACTCGTAATTTGTGCTGCTCCCACTTAAGTACATTAAAACTGTAACGGAACGTTGGGATAATTATTGTTAACGTAAATTTTAATTTTGATACATAGTGCCTTTTTGTAAGATAACTCTAATTACTTTTAGAGCTGGTCACTGGGATTCAAAGTAAAAACGGTGGATTTTAGTTCTTTGTATGATACCGCATTTTTGTCACAATGTAGGTATTAACTCGGAGAACATCTACAGCATGTGATACCCGCAGAAGTTGGTAGCATCAAAATATGCAGTTTATCCGATTCATTAGTCAAACTGTCTTAATTAAATGGGTAAAAGGGATTCAATATTGGATGGCCAGTTTTGACAATTTTTAAGATTAAGACTGTTCGCATTTTAAAGGACTCAAGGGCCCAAGAGCCTCAGATTTGATAAGGCTATTTCGGTTTCCATGCATCTCAAAAAGGTTTCAATTTTCTCACGACCCCACCAGCGTCAGGCACCTCAAGCTCAAGAACTTTGAGATTCTCAAGGGCATCAAAGTTCAGAGCGCCGCTCAAGCATTTTAAGCACCTCAACAGCCTGAGGGTCTCTAAAATCCCGATGCAAGGATGACCTAAGGGTTTCTCAGTGTATCACGGGTGTCATGATTGTCATGATCTTACGAAGCAATAAAACGGAGTATAATTCCCCTCGGGAAACGCAATACCCTCGCGACTACGTCGCTCGGAGTATTACTGTTCCCTCAGGGAATTATACTCTTGTTTTATCCCTTAATACATTATCTACTATAATTAACCAGTGCTTCTTCTTCATCACAATTGGGTTGCTCCAAGGACTCATCATGGTTTAATTACGCCTTTCTCCAACCTTTCCTGAAGTTCGAGGTCGATTTCTTTGAACAATGCTAGGGATACCGGGTAAAATGTTTGTTGAATTGGTTCTATATTATCTTCCAGCTGGGTTTTATGTTCGACTAGATCAGTACAACTGAAATCTTCTGTTAGGCCCCCAACGGCCCTAACGGCCCTGGCCCTGGTCCGAACTCTGTCAAGATTTCAAGATGTCTACCTTACACATCATCTGTTCATAATCCTCAACCGAAAATGTGCACTCATTTTCCCGTAAGTTGCAACGTCCCGTTCTTTCGTTGAATGTACTCCTGGGTTGGGCGACAGGCTGAATGCGCTTTTAGTGTGTTAGAAGTAGTTGGATCATTGGGATTGACAATATCTCACTTTTGCTTTTACGAATGAAATGCTTTGTTGATATCTGAAGCGGAAAATTTCAGATCTATCAAGTTGAAATTGTCTAAATAATTTATCTAAGAGTGATAACGTGAATATGGCTTGGCTGAATCATTTTGAGGTAAAATTATTTATATAACATTTCCTAATTCGTTATAGCGTTTCTTTTTAGGTCGTGCCCTATGATTTAATTTAATTACCTATTTTTTAGCTATATCACAATCCGAAACCCATTTACGTTACCAGCATTGGAGTGTCTGTGTTAAAAAACGACCGTGTTCTGAATGCCAACACTCGTTTCCGAATCGGAGATTGCTACCTGTCAATTACCTAGTTGGAACTGATCCCGTATAAAAGGTATACGCAAATGTTTATCTCAAATACCGGGTATTTCAAACGTGCCGGTAATCCACAATTGCTTTTGTCGTGCTTTTCCGCTGCTATTTTGCTACCGTCCTCAACTTTTTTCGGACAGCGTGAATTCACTTTGGTAGTGGAAGAGGGGGGGGGGGGGGGCTATGTAAAATAATAATAGTTGGAATGGTATTAAAGGTTTCTTCCAAGTTAGGTTTGAGGTTGTGAGAAACTTGTACATTGCGTACCGGGTGACCCAATATGACTGTTCCGCGGCCATATCTCGAGAACTGTTCGTCATATGACTTACATTTTAAAATTGAATTTTCTTTAAATTTCTCATAATAAACTAAAAAAAAATGTTTCACATATTTAAAGAGAACCAGTTTATCTATCATTTTCGTAAAAACAAAAACTCGGTTATTTCAAAAACAAAGATGGTGTGGGGCGTTCAATTGTTTTTGCAATAACCTTCTTAACCGTTGGACCGATTTGAACAAATTTGGTATGGTTGAAAAGAGCAATCGGGCAATGAGAATCAACCAAAATATAGTTAATTTAGTTGAATCCTTCTCCGCCAGAGGACTAGTTTTGACACTATGACCCAAAGTCCTAAAAAAATCAAAAAAATCAAATAGAATGATATGACTTTTTCTTTATGAAAAAGTAGCCAAATAACATCCAAAGAGGCCAGTGAAAACCGTTTTTTCAAAATCTCGTTCCTAACCTCAACTATTGGAAAAATGAGATTAATTAATTAAACTATATTTTGATTCTAGTTTCCTAAGTAATGCTCTTTTTAACGATACCAAATTTGTTACAATCGGTCAAACGGTTAAGAAGTGAAAGCAGGTTATTGCAAAAACAATCGAACGCCCCACGCCATCTTTGTTTTTGAAATTACTGAGTTTTTGTTTTTACGAAAATGATAGATAAATTAGTTCTCTTTAAAAATGTGCAGTTGCGCCCTCTGGTGGTCATTTTTAGAACTTGTAAACATTTTCCAGCGATTCTTCATAACCGAGTTACCCAATAATTTTTTTTTCCCCTAAGTCATACGACAAGCGGTTCCCTAGATATTGCCGAGGGACAGTCTTATTGGGTCACCCGGTACAACAAAATATCCAGGGTGTTCTCATTAAAGGATAAGTTTATACGAAATTTTGTTGTGTAAAATTTTATCGGAATGGTACCGAAGTTAAAATATTACATTTGAATCGTAGCCACAGCCATATCGAGCTCAGAAGGGTACTATCTGCCAATAATCTGCAATCATATAAAACAAACACAAACGGAGAGGGAGGGAATGAACGGCATGGCATATAAATGCGAAAAAAATCTACGATTGTAATCAAAACTTGACTAAAAGCAGTAATCTAAATGACTTTTCATTCGGAAAAGCAATATTGTCGACTTCGACATATACAACTTTAAAATAATGCTGAATCATAATTTTGTACATACCAGGGCGTAAATTAGTAATTTTAAAAGATAAAATCCGCTTAAAGCGTATCCTATGGAGCACGCTACTACACTAGAAAACGGGAAAAACTCAAAAGAAGATAACACAATAGCCAATACTAATCCCATTTCTGGTAGGTAAATTAAACAAGCAAACACCACGAGCGCAAAATCTCCTCTAACGGAAAAAGTACCAAGCACGTAAAAAATTAAGGACGTTCAAGAGAGTCAAATACAGAAAAGTACATTCAGGTGACCTCTAGCGGCAAAACAAACAAATATGAAAAGTGAAAACCTTACCAACAAAACAAACTACAAGGAACTGTAAGTTTCATACTGCATTAACGCCACCAAGTAGCAGGAGGAACTCAATCGCATGCTGAAGCTGGACGCGATCGAGGAATGCGAGTGACCCTGGGCTTCACCTGTGGTCATGGTCCCGAAACCAGGCGAAAGCACACGATGTACATGGATTATACAAATTTGAGTGCGTTGACCATTCCAGGCAGCTACATACTCCACGGATTGATGGTCTCCTACATGCCGAGCGCGGCCTCGTCATGTCAACGATAGACTTACAGTCGCAGCCATACACAGAGACGAAATCGCCTTCGTGTGTATCTTGGTGCAAAAGAATGCCGTTTGGGTTAAGGAATCCCCCCTTCGAGTTTCAGAGCCTAATCGATGGCGTGAAGGTCCAATTTATTAGTCCGGGTAACCTGGACATCATGGCACGCATTCCCATACGTTTAAAGCAATGCCATTTGAAAGCAAGAAAAAGAAAACCTCGGGTACATCATCACTCCAACAGGTATCAGTGACGTTTCTGCAAAAACATCCGCCATCGAAAAACTTCCGGTACCAAATGAGAACGGAATAAGAAGCCGCGCTCCAGAAATTCAAGACACCCTTGACCAGTCGATCTTTTATAATGATTCAAGGTCAGAGGATTGATAACTGTTCAGGATGACAATTAAAAATAATGGAATCAATGTTTACCAACAAATGGAAATGGAAATTGCGCAATTATCGACAGTAACAAAGTATGAAACTGCGTGGCTCAGTAAAAACTACGCACTTGCGATAAGTTATCTACGATAAGTGATTGGAAGCGGCCAACTTCGTGATCGTACGCGTAACAGTTGGTAATGGCCGAAGTAATTGAAACGAAAACTGTGAACGTCGAGCATAGCAGGTTCTTCACCGCACAGAACAACTCGTGGTGGGATGTGAACTCGCCCCTTAAACCCCTACAGCAGCTAAACGAGCGCGCCCTTGAATACATCAAGGACGTCCTCGTGGCGAAGGGTCTCGCAACTGACGACGACGGAAGATTTCAGCTACGTGCCGGTTTGGTAGTTTTAGACGCGGGGTGCGGTGGTAAGTGAGTCATTTGATCGACAAATTTTCCATTGGGGCACCGACAGGAGGAATACTGACCGAGCCACTCGCGAGAGCCTGCCCGAACGTAACCGCCATAGACATCAACAGAAGCGCAATAGAGGTGGCCCGAGAGCACGCCAAACTTGATCCCAGCCTAAAGCACCTCACGTACCATTGGGAAAGCTTCGATGAGCACGCGCTGAATAACGTCGAGAAGTACGACGTGATCGTCTGTAACTTGGTGATACACTTCGCCGTAAACCAAGAGGATCTCTTACACGATCTGCTGAAAACGCTAAAGCCAGGAGGCACGATAATTCTAAGTTCCGTTTGTAAGTCATACGAAGCGTGGCTAAAAATAATCGTACTCGGAGAGATGGTTCTGAGACGGTACGCACGAGGGAACTTCAGGTGGGAGCAGTTCATCAACCACTGGGACCTGGAGAAGATCCTGGAGAGAAGTAAAAATACTTCCTAACTAACCAACGTTATCACCTTTTGCTTTAGATCACTGCACTGTGGAGAATATTAGGGGACTCCACCACGATGTGTTCCCACCATCGTACCAATGGAGCGAGAACAAAAACGTATTTTACTTTATGCATGCGACTAAACGACAGTGATGCTTTGAAGAGAAATTCTAACACACTAATTGTAGAGTAGATCACAACCCGGTACAACTTTTTAACAAGACTTTAGTCTTAGTCTGTGTTTTGTTGACAAAACCATTTCCTGAAAATTGGAAAGCGCGAAGAGTTGGAGCCACTTTCAGGTTTTTAAGGTTCTTTGGGCCCATGACGCTCACTAGACCGTTGATAATCGTCAGACCTCCCGAAGTGGGGAGTTTTGAGAAAGGATAGTGTTATTCTTAAGAGTGGTGGTCAGAATTAACGTCCTTCCCTGCACAAAAAGTTCTTCGGTGATTAAGTTCATTTTCCTCATTTTGAAAAGAAGCTCAAAACTCATAGGATATCTGGTGTCCGATCTGTTACCTATTAAACATCAATGCAGTTTAATAATTTATTCTAATCCTACATTTGGTTCTCTCGAAATGAACCGTTACCCTTGAAGATCCTTGAGATAGGAGTCTAGACTACCTTGGATAACTCTAAAAAATGCATGCGGATTTGTAATGCAACATCAACTCCTCAATTAAAATATTTTGCTCTACAATTCATATTAACGAAGGTATAAGATAGATATTCCATACTTTTGACTAACCTTGTATATAATATTTTGAGTTTTGTATGTTTAATGGTTTTTTAAATCTTAGAGACACCATTTGAAAATCGATTAGTGATAATTATTTGAAATATAATAATTTCCTTTCCGCGTTTTAGTGTTCCTGAAGTCGCTCTATTCAGTAAAACTTCTGACAAAAGGAAATAAAAAACCATTTCTCGAGAATTCCGTCTGAAAGACATAATTCATTCGAAATATGTCATACAATTCTAGAAAAAAACAAAAAAGTTTCTCGCGTAATGAATTTTACTCTGCGCGGATAATTATTGCGCGATTTTGAAGGGACTGTTACAACTGCATTAATACCAGATTAGTTATGTTAGTTATGTTATATTATTTATTATATACTTATAATTGGAAGCCCATATCATTCTAGTTTAAGGCACCGCAATAATTGTAACGATATCATTCTTAGAAAAAGAAATATGATGTAAAAATAGAAGAACACGGATTTATGTGCCGAATGTGTACGAGGAGAGATGATAAAATTCTCAGTTTCAATTTTGATTTGTTTTGACCTAGATGGACCGGGGTTTTATGAGTGGTGTGCATACAATGGTATGCACAGAGCAATGCATGACAAAAAGGAAAAGAAAATCGACTAACGCACAATGTACCGGGTGACCCAATATCTCGAGAACCGTTCGTCATATGACTTAGGGGTAAAAAAATTATTGGGTAAATCGGTCATGAAGAATCGCTCGAAAATATTTTCAAGTTCTAAAAATGACCAACAGACGGCGCAACTGCCAGCGTAAATTTTAAAGTTGCATTTTCTTTAAATTTCTCATAATAAACTAAAAAAAATTGTTTTTGCATTTTTAAAGAGAACCAGTTTATCTATCATTTTCGTAAAAACAAAAACTCAGTTATTTCAAAAACAAAGATGGTGTGGGGCGTTCAATTGTTTTGCCATAACCTGCTTTAGCATCTTAACCGTTTGGCCGATTTCAACAAATTTGGTATGGTTGAACAGAGCATTCCACGGACAATGAGAATCAACCAAAATACAGTTCATTTAGTTGAATCCTTCTCTGCCAAGGGGCTAGTTTTGACACTATGATCCAAAATCCTAAAAAAATCAAATGGAATGATATGACTTTTTCTTTATGAAAAAGTAACCAAACAACATCCAAAGGGGTCAGTGAAAACCGTTTTTCTAAATCTCGTTCCTAACCTCAAATATTGGGAAACTGAGATTAATTAATTAATAATTAATTAATATTTCCCGTATTTGTCGATGGCGCGAAAGAAAAGCACCTTACACTTTTAGGTAGGCCTTGGAAAATTAAACAAATGAAGCACGATGCATTATAAAAAAAATAGCAGCCGTAAATTGTAAATTATTCTGCTGTGTTTACATTCAGAAAGTGCAGAAAAATGCCGATTTAACCAAGAAGCATTTAATATACTGTCGATATATTTTGAATAATTTCAAAACGCGACCACATCTTCTATTCGCGTTGTTCGAATCGACCACGAACCATCGCCGCCAGCATATTAAATGCTTCTTGGTTAGAAATCGGCATTTTAGAAAAGATTACAAATTCAAAAAACTGCATTTTCTGAATGTAAACAGCAGAATAATTTACAAAGTACAGCTGTTATTATTTTATAATGCATCGTGTTTCATTTGTCTAATTTTCCAAGGCCTACCTAAAAGTGTCGGGTCCTTTTGCAAACAAATCGACAAATACCGGAAATACGTCAAATAAAATACAATTTAAGCATTTTGATTAATTAATTAATTAATTTCATTTTCCCAATATTTGAGGTCAGGAACGAGATTTTGAAAAACGGTTTTCACTGGCCTCTTTGGGTGTTATTTGGCCTATTCATATAGAAAAAGTCATATCATTCCATTTGATTTTTTTGATTTTTTTAGGATTTGGATCTTAGTGTCAAAACTAGCCCCCTGGCCGAGAAGGATTCAACTAAATTAACTGTATTTTGGTTGATTCTTTTTACCCAAGGAATGCTCTTTGCAACGATACTTAATATGTTAAAATCGGTCAAACGGTTAAGAATTTAAGGCAGGTTATTGCAAAAACAATTGAACGCCCCACACCATCTTTGTTTTTGAAATAAATGAGTTTTTGTTGTTACGAAAATGATAGATAAACTGGTCCTCTTTAAAAATGTGAAAAAAGAATGTTTAGTTTATTATGCGAAATTTAAAGAAAATGCAATTTTAAAATTTAGCATGTCAGTTCCGCCCTCTGGTGGTCATTTTTAGAACTTGAAAATATTTTCCAGCGATTCTTCGTAACCGATTTACCCAATAATTTTTTTTTCCCTCAACAAGCGACAAATTTGAATTGCCCATTGATGGGATGGGTACCAGACTTTAAAACAAATTAGCACAAAACGCGAATAAAATTAAATGTTTAAAGTATATATGTTGACACTACAGCGCGAAGTTATGGAGTGAGTGTGATCAGAAAAAAAAATGAATTAGGTACTCATTAACGTGATGAGCACAAGATTTTAAATTAGCAGCACAAATTAGCACAAAATGAGCACAAAATTATGAGATACTTGGAACTTAATTCCTCTTCGACACTCCAACTTTACAGACCCCCAAATAAGGATGCTTTAGGTTACTTCTTTGGCAATCTGCTATTGCTATTACGGTCTAGTACCAAACAACCACGTTCCCAAAAGGTTAGATTAACACAGCTATCTAAAATCGATAGGGGGCCCTTGAAATTTCGTTTTTGAGGACTCTTGTACCTACCTTTCAACGCTGTTTGCAAAAGAATACGGTTCCTAAAGGAGTATTGCGAACATCTTCACCTTTTTAATTTCACAAAGGGGACAAGGATTATCTTTGGTATGACGTAATCAATCGTTTGTGAAAACCTCTTTAGCGAATAAATAAATTTTAAAAAAATCTGAACGCTTATGGAAGTTTCATAGGGACTGGGATGCGACCCTTGAAGGCTCTTAAAGTCATTAAGGTGGTCTTATACTTAAAGTTCTACGCAAAAGTTTGTGCCGATCTGGCCTGCGTCACGCTGTCTGGTAATAGTAGTTGTAAAAGCAGGTAAGGTTCACTCCTATTCACAGGTTTGTGACGAACTCGTCTTTGGCTCGCTCTTCGGTTTGCAAACTTGTGAGCTCAAAAGGGTGCTTTCAGCCTTTTTTGTAACAGAAAAAAATAATAAAAGGGGTAGCACGTAAAATATTGCGCAAGCAATCCTAACGTCTGACACTGAGGCAAATCTATACTAAATCGTAATTAATACTTACAAAAATTAATATTTTGGAAAAAAAAATTTTGGCTCGACTACGGATTTCTCGTACAAATTCGGGTATAAAAGCATAAACGTGACGTTAAATTCAAGAAAACTACTTTACGATAAACAAATAACTAATTTCGATTCGCAGCAATGCAATCTAATTAATTCAGAGTGTAAACTACGTATTATGAATTCCGGAGTGAATCAAAACTTGACTAAAAGTTGTAGCTATCGGCTTTGAACAAAGTCTCGGTAACTTAAAATTGACTTATATTATATCTCGTATAACACACCTAATTTGAAGGATACAATGTAATAAAACTAACATAAATGAATCTTCGTATTAATCAGAAGGTAACGTAGACAATTGCGGGTCTCGATATCGGCAAAGTCAAATCGTCGGTATCGACAAAAATAAAGTTTCGTTAATATATACTTGCGGTTACAATTCAAAGACAAATAGGTACAAATTTCCGGCAGGTAGTAATGTTGGGGGAATAAAGTAGATTTAAATGGTTAATTTAGGTAGAAATTCATGTTTGGTTTCACCGAAATGCCGGTAATGTAGAAACTCATCTATCGCGTGGCGTCGCCAATATCAATCGTAATAAGATGGCGGGTCCAAGTAATATCCAAGTAGATCACAACGTAAAAGGTAACCCAAAAGAGTGAACGATGATAGCTTAAAAGAAAACTGTAAGAAAACTTGAGGAAATAAAGCCCTAAAAAAATATACGCATTAAGAAAAGAATGCTGCGTAACCATCTAACATGCTTCGTATTGTTTATATGCAAATACAGATCCGTACAAACGTGTAGCGATTTATTATCTCCATTACAAAGCATTATTATTGGTTACGGTTTATTACTTGTTGAAAGATCCCCGTAATATTTAATTTGATAGATGACTTCATACATTGTTGGAATTTAACAAGGCAATTTTGCGGCGCATACAGCCATTGCGAGTCCATTTTTTTCTTTCTTTCTTTCCTAACCCGTATCGAACCAGAACTTATGGATTTTTAATTGCCATCACCCATATATATTGATTTCTTGCGATTGAATTTATAATTTGGAAATTCCGAAGACATTGCTCGACGAGATTCGCCTATACTCCTAATGGTGGTTATTATTTGCATCGTTTTCTCTTGATCGTAAGTACCGCCATGTGCATTTCGTTTACTTAAGAGTGTATCTTGTTTAGGTTTCGACTGTAATTTGTTGTTATTGCAATTTCCATCAACAATATTGTTCCCTTTGATTTCTTTTAGGGCTTAAGTTTAAGTTCCGGATGGGTTTGTATATTACATACGACTCTGGTTCGACGTACACGTTTTGTAACCCTGGGTTAAATTCACCACCGGCTGTGAGTGCCGAAGCCCTTGACTTACTTCCACATACTTCTGATAGCAAGCCGTTTTCTGTGAAATGGGTCACTGGGTCATGAAAGAGATTTAATAACAAGGATCCCCTCTCCTAACTTCCGTAACTCTTTGACGTTTATTTTGTCCCTTCAGGGTTCTTTGCGACTACATTTAAGTAATTTGTAAACTTCAGTATCTTTGGTATATAAGCAGATTACGAGTAGAGCGAGACCCTTCAGGCATTAGTCAATTAATTATACCAACCCCGCAGCTTGGGACGCTTTTGTTGATTGATTTCCGGTTTGGATGCAAAAACTGAGCTCACTACTTGGCGTCAAAATCTAACTTAATTCCAAGGTAAGGGTTGCCTCATATGTTTTACTTGTACTTGGCCCTATTCGTTCGAATTTTTACCCGAAATATCAATTAATTAATTTGTGGAAAGTGAAATTCACTAATTAGATTGCTAATTTCCCGTTTTTGATTGGAGGTTTGGTTAGTTTTAGAATTTCATTGCACAGTTTATTTAATTATTTTGAACATTTGGGGAGATAGGGAACACATTTTACTTGACGTTAATTGTTTAATACTTTCTATTAATTTCGCAATAATCGTACTAATTGCTGTAGTAACTCAAAACCCGAACTAATCTGGCGTTTTATGCTCGAAATAAATATGATACACTTGGATCGCGTACTAACTATTTCGTTGCTTCTGACCGAATGCTTTCCAAAAATCTCCCTACTATCATTTCTCATCAACTACCATCCACGAAATGGCTTCTTATTAATAAAGCACGGCCAGCTTTACTTGTTGATTCGTTTCGTTAATTTTTGCGCTACCAATTAAATAAAAGCGTAATCCCACGTATGACCAACCACGTTGCATTTCTCACGATACTCGAATGATCTCATGCTTATTCAGTGGCTGGGAGTATATAACGCCAATTAAGATACCCACTTTAGCTTTAGTTACA